ATCTCCATTGGCTGCAACCACTCACTTCATCATTGCATAATGATAGGTGATAACATGGACTTAACTTGCTTTTAAAATGTATGAGGTATATATAACCTACTTTATGTATTATTTATTTTCGTAGTTACCTCTGGTCTTGGCTGAGAATCAATAAGTAATAAAAAAAATATTTCACATTTTCAGTTTCTCTATGTATAAAAATCAATATCAAACTATATATTTCATTCTTACCTTGTGTTATCAGCCTGTAATGGATGGGCTAACATTTTAGAGTACTCCAAAATGAATGATTCTGCAAGAGCCTCAGCTGCTCAGTGTGACAGATAACAGTGATACTTGCTGGTCATAAGGCTTTTAATCACAAAGGACCTCAAGGTATCTCAGACACCATCTGCATAGATCAAACTCTAAAGCACAGCCATCTCCAGATTCAGAGGAAGCCAAAAGCAACTCATCACTGCCCTGAGGAGCAGCAGAGACTCAGAAACCACCCCAGCTGCATGTGCAAGGTGAACAAATAAAATAAATCTCAATTTAAAGAAAAACCTGACTAAGTTCCATCTTTAGTTAGGGCAGGATGATATAATTAAAATATAAATGAACTTTAACTTGTGATCTCTGCAGGAACACATTAAGGATGTTGGTCGTGCCACTCATGGCCTTTGTGCTCACCCAAATATTCCCAGTTTCCATGGGGAAAAGTAAAACTCAAGAAAACAACAAAGAACCTGCAAGAAAATGGCTACAACATTCTCTGCAGATCACAAAATCTAGCCTAGTTCTGGGAATCAGGCTCAAAATTGAGGGATTAAGTCAGGAGGACAGAGAATATGCCAAAACTCACCTGAGAGGAGCTGCTCTGTCAGCAGGGGATGACTCATGGTAGGACAGAGGATCCATCCTACTCCCAAAACACACCTCCACACTGGACTATTGTACCTCCCCAGATGAAATCCTTACTAATGCACTAAAGAGCAAAGATTTAAGAGGCCTTAATCTGAGATTCAGGTAAACAGTTCCTTTCAAGAAGTTAAAATATACATTGACTTTTTGTCACCAACATTTTTTCATAAAAATCCTCTCTTTAGGATTTTTTCTCTTCTGGGAAGCTGAGGCCCCAGAAAGAGAACATAAACAATTATTATCTGCTGCTGTGGAATGCAGCAGGTACATCTGTGACTGGTCTTCTGTGAGTGTCTGGATTTACTGACCACTCACAGGAGAGCTTTCCTGCTTTCTGCCTGGACACAGAACTTTGTGGATTCCTATTCCTATTCTATTCTTAGCTTAGCAAGCTTCTGAACTTTTCTCTCTATTCCTATTAGTACAGTCATAATGAAACTTATATCATAAATTAATAAATCCAGCCTTCTGATGATGAAGCCAAGATTCTCATCTATCTCTCTCACCCTGAGGAACCCTTGCAAAGCCATGCAACAACTTTTAGTCATGCTTAACAGCCACTAAAATGATCAAGAGGCATCCTCTCCTCATGAAAAGAAAAAAAGAACACATTCCAAACACTGATGTATGTACTTTTTCCCAATGGGGCCCAGCTTGCACACTTTACCTCCTAATAGATTGTTACAGGGCTTTGCAAGAGTCTTTCAGGGTGAAGAGAGAGGCGAGAATCTTGATCTCATGATCAGAAGGCTGGATTTATTATTTTATGATATATATGTTACATTATGACTATGCTAATAGGAATAGAGAGAAAAGTTCAGAAGCTGCTAAGCTAAGAATAGAATAGGAATGAACAACAACAGAGCTCTCTCTGATTCTGTCCCAGAGAGAGCTTGGTCTTTGATTGGCCATTAATTGTACACAAGCAACATGGGCCAATCCCAGGTGCACCTGTTGCATTCCACATTAGCAGATAACCAGTGGTTACATTCTTTCTCAGGGGCCTCAGCTTCCCAGAAGGGAAAATCCCAAAGAAAGGATTTTCCACAAAAGATCTGTGACAATAGGTGGTATCCCAGAATATGTAATCAGACAACTCCAAGTTGAGACATTTGCACATCCCAGCACATTTCCCACAGATACCCTGGTGACACCAGGCAGGGTGACAGCAGCTCCTGGTGGTGCTGGGATTGTTGGCCAGGCACTCACTCTCTCTCCGCACGTCGGCGAGCGCCGCGTGCAGCTCCTCCTTGAACACAGCTGCTTCCTGGGCAATCTTCTCCCCCTTGTCCAGCAGGTTCCAAGTGGCCTCCTCCACAGAGGCAAGCAGGACACGAGCTCTTTTGGAACGGCCCTTCTTCTTACTAGAAGGATTCTGTGGACAGTTCACTAATGTTGTAACCTACATTTAAAAGAGACAATCATGGTTTAAGTTCTACAAGTGAATTTATATTGTTATTAAAATAAAAAAATATATATAATTATGAATAAGCAAAGAGATTCCCTCTGCTTTGGAGACAGACAGGCAAGCTCAGCATTAATACCAAGAATGGGCAAAAGTACTGAATTCAATCTAATGCAATTTTACTCAGTAGTATGCATCATCTTTGTGTTCCTCCTTCTGCAGGATCAAAGCAAAGCTAACAGAAATGTCACTATTATGTTCTATGAATCCTGATGCCAACTCCTGCCACTGCTTGTTTTAAAACCTGCTCATAATAAAACAAAGAAATACCAGTGCTATCTGAGGAGGCTTCAGCAAGGCAGGAATCATGGAACCATTAAGGCAGGAAAAGAGCTCCAAAAGCACCAAGTCCAGCTGTCAAGCTAACATTGCCAAGTGCACCCCTAAACCACACCCCAAAAACACCACACCCCAAAAACACCACAGCCCAAAAACACCACACCCACGTGCTTTCTGCATGCTTCCAGGGTCCCTCAGCAGCCTGTTCCACCTCTGGGCACGCCTTTCAGGGAAAGAATGTTTTGTTAACATCCCATCTAAACTTTCCTTGGTGCAACCTGCGGCCATTTCCTCTTCTCCTACCACTCACTACCTGGAGAAGGGACCACCCAGGCACAGCCAGAAGGGTCCCTGAGCCTCCTCCTCTCCAGGCTGAGCCCTCTCAGCTGCTGCTCCTTTCCCCAGCTCCTGGCCCTCCCCTGGACAGGCTCCAGCACCTCCATGTCCTTCCTGTCATGAGGGGCCCAAGACTGAACACAGGGCTCAAGGTGTGGCCTCACCATTGCACCATCGCTGCCCTGGTCCTGCTGGCCACCCCATTTCTGATCAAGGCAGGCTCCCACAGGCTCCCTGGCCACCTGCTATCAGCCAGCACCCACAGTTCTCTCTCCCCAGCAGTGCTGGCTGTTCCCATACCTCCAGTGTAAGGCTTGCAAAGCATCCCAGAACGAGTACAAACACCTTTCACAATGCTTTCTCTTCTCACCAAAGGGGCATCCCTGTGGCCAGAGCTCAACACCTCCACATTCTTCAGCGTGCTCTCAACATTAATATTGCACATCAATTTGCCCAGAATTTATATTTACTGCAGCTTAGACCAAATTTTATTTTTACCAATGCACTTCAACACCCATAAAGAACTTGTTTTTATAGACCATCCCACTCCACATTCTGAATACAGCCTCCACACTCCAAGAGAATGTTTCTGAAAGACTATTCTCTAAGGCATTGCTTGAGCTGCCACACTAAGGAAAGACTCCAAAACCATTTTTTGTTAGTGTTGGACAGATATTTTAAAGCACACCTTATTTTCATAAAGCTCACTGATCCTTTTGAATGCTCCTGCTCCCTGAACACAGATAGTACAGTGCTCCATGTGCCTTACTCACCTTCAGATCCCATCCATGAATTCATGCACTTGAGTGCTTCTCATGAATCACTGCTTGTAAACACAACTGACAAACATCCTGTGGGTAACATTTCTATAAACACACCTACAAACACAAAAGCCCTGACCCCTGCACCATTCATGCAATTTAGGGGGGGAGAAGGAGCATCCACTTGACATCAACTGCTTTGGCATGCCACAAGGGAGAGAGCAACATAAATAACTCTGGCTCAGATTGTTAAAGAAGGCTTGGGTATTTTTCTGACTCTGGCTCAAAGGAAGAAAATGGAATTATTTATTGCACATAAATCAGCCAGCTGGTAGAGAATGCACTGGGAATAAAAATCTTTATCTTTTATTTTTACAAACACTTCAATGTCAGTTTTAGAACATTTAAGACAGTTTCAATGTCCATATTTTTAAGAATGAGTTACAGATTAAAGGCTAATACTTCCAATAAGAAAGGCATAAAACACCATCAAAAATTAGAAGTGGCCCCAAAAAAATCTATCAAATAGAAGGGTTTTTTTAAAATTTTAAGTATTTAATCACTATTTCAGTAGAAAATAATGTATTCTACTTTGCAGATTTTTACTGCAGTTTTTTTAATGTTAAATATCATTCTACATACTGCTCATTGATATGTGGAGGAGGAAAGGAAATAAAACAAATGAAAAAGTATAAAAAAATAGCTATTCCTGCAGGTGAAAACTCTTGACTGTAAGACCCTGCATCTTCAGCATCACTCTCAGGAAATACTGGAGGTGGCAAATACAAGTCAAATACAACTCAAAATTTGTTAGATAGCTCTTTGCTCATGGAGATTATGGAAAACAGAAAAACTACTCTGAATTCTCTAACACAGAAGCCCAAGGAGGAATGTAAAAACTTTCTACAATCCTGCCCAGAAAGAACTGAAGCACAGACTAACACAGTGTGCCATTGTTACCCTGCACAGCACATCCCCAGCCCTGGGAGGAACAACACAGCTGTGCTAAAGGCACAAGGAGTCTGTAAACCATTTTCTGGGCCATGTGCCTCCACATTTACAGGGCTGAATCGTGCCACTGCTGCCTGGTATTGTCATTAGTTATGACAATATAACTAATGGATATAAGGATAAAGAGGTGGGTATTTGGTTATGCCAAATACTAAGTTTCTAGCAAACTCTGAAGCAGTTCTTCCAAAGCTATATTCAGTTACTGGCAGCACTTTGAGACAATCTCTCAATACTGCAGTAGTTCAGGAAGCAATGTCTTGATACCTTGAGGATCACAGTATTTGGTTCACGTTTATTTTAATAGAAAAAATATTTTTAAGCATCAATCATAAAACATTCTTTTTTGTTAACAATGTAGCTCAGTGTAACTCCATGTCAATCCCTAGACATTAGGGATTAGGAAAACCAAGACAGGAACTCTGAATCATTTCAAATCCAATGTATTTGTGTTATACACAAATAAACACTGGCTAATCCCACCCAGTGAGCAGAAGGTCAAATCAGCATACAGAACTAAACCAACAGTGTGTGCTTCTTTCCCTGTGAGCCAACATCTGTGGTGTGGATGACAGATCCAAGACTTCCAACTTGCCTGGTTTTCATCAGTGATCCAAGGGACTCCAAAATGCAGGGATTTTCCTCCACACTGTGTCAGCTGAACCATGCTAACTTTGACAAGTACCTTCTTTGGTGTGCTGATTGAGAACTAGAGTGAGAAGCCTTCCTTCCACAACTAACATCCTCCAAACAGCTGCAATACAACAAAGGCCACAGACAGAGGGAAACACCCAGGGCAATTTAGGGACAGTGTTTTACTCCAAGGAGAGAGAAGCTGCCAGCTCAGAGAGGGTTTTACACAAAGCAGCTGCTGCACTATTTTCAGAGTTTCACAGCAATCAGCACTGCCAGTTCACATGGCAGGGAAGAGAGAGGGTCAGTTCAGCAAGGGATCTGCAGCTATTGCCACAATGACTCCCTAGGTACCTGCCAGGCTGGCTCTGCCTCAGTATTTTCCCGTACTGATTAATCTAAGGATTAATCTGTTAATCTGTTAATCTAAGGACTGCCCTCACACTGAGCATACTTGGCTAGGACAGACTTCAGAGAACCTCAAGCACTTCCATTGTTTCTTTCCTGCCACAGCATTACGAGGCCATTAAATAAATAAATTACAACAGAATTCTCAAAATAAAGTTAAATTGCATTCCAAGCAGCAGTTGCTACAGTGAATCTGGCAAGAACATAATTTTTATCTGTGACTGGTCTCTTTCTAAGGACAGACTAATTTTCATTTATTATCTTTCCAGCCTTTCAATCACCTTTCATTAAGTATGAACTTTAATCCCTGTTCTTACACTTTTAACATTTTCTTTTGAAGGATCCACTCAAAACATAAGTTTTCCTTCCACGGGTATGAAACAAGCAAAGCATTAGGCTTAAGAGAGGGAAAAGACAGTCAAAATACTCTCTTAGAGCCAAAGCATTTCCAAGTGAACAGGCTCAAGCTTTTCAGTGGTTGAGAAGGGCTGGGAGGGAAAAACCCACAAAGCTTAGATGGTTTCTTTGTTTTATTCTGGATCTGCACTTTCTTTGTTTTGTCAGGTTTCTTTGATCCTGCCAAACTCAAACCAAAATTTACTTTTCTTTATCCCTCTAAGAACACCCACAGTGCTGCAGCTGCCTCAGCACAGTCTGAGCTACTGGTTTATAAGAGGTTTTTAAATTCAGTCTATCAAGACATCTATTCTTACTACTTTGAAACTCATTTTGTAACCATCCACATACCCTCAACAACTTCCACAAACCACTGACCTGCTAACTGAGGGTTTTCACACCATCAATCACATCCAAGCAAAAATAAATAAAGAAAGGCAGACAAAATGAGAGAGAGGCAGATCAGTTAATAGTAGCTGGAAATAAAGTCACGATAGAAAAGAAAAGGTCACTTTCTGAGGAAAGTAACCTTAGACAGGAAAAATGAGTAAGGGAAGAGAAGACCAAAAAAAATTTGGGAGAGGCAAAGCTTCAAATAGGGAAAATACAACTTTATTTTTAAAGAATTACTTACTTCACACACTGGAATTCCATTTGCAGCGCATTCTACATTTAAGCATCTCACACTGTGCAAGAGACCAGCTAGAACATGCAGCATTTACTGGGACAGACTGGGGGCAAAGCTGGAAGTGACCAAAGGAATGGCCAAACCTGGAAGGCAGAGCCCTGGCGAGCTCCTGAGCCAAGGGCAAGTGCAGAAGAGCTGTGGGTGTGACTCTCAGAATAACGTCTTCAGTCAAAAGTTCTTCAGCCTTATTCCCCTCCCTCTATGGTTATCCAGATTATTTCTGCAACTCTAAAATACCTGAATTATCAGTGGTTCCAATAACTTCTCCACTGTGAACGTCTGGATCTGCAGATTCCGGGGATCAATTTTCAGTTTAATGTTGGGCACTTTTGTTGACATTTCACCTGGGTACAAAACAAGAGAAGTGCAATAAGCCAATATTAGCCATGACTACAAGCCTCACTGCCTTCTGTCAGAGCCCAGAGACCACCTGTGTGAGTATACACTTGTTTCATAACAGAGGCTGATCTCAAGAAATACAATTAACTCTCCCGATTCCCCATTTCTAAACCGTTAAAAAAATACCCTGATACTTCCATAATCTGTAAAATCATAAAGTACATATAACTCCTTATGTTCACTCACAGATTAACTGATCACATGTTAAAAAAAAATACAAAGATAATTCAATTAGAATATCATTAAATAAAATCTTCTACTAGTCCAGAAAGGATCTTTAAAGCAAAAACATTAAATTCCGTTACTGAATTCATCACAAAACAAAAACATTAATGCTATGTGCACAATATGTTATCTCATTCCATGAGCCAAATTACAGGGGTTATATAATAAGCACCTTAAGAACAAAAAGCATATACAGCAGTGCTTAAAATTTCTGGAAATTACCAGCAGAAAAAGGGAAACATTTTGTTATTTTATACCCTGCAAGAACAAATATTTTCTAAGTGTCAAGACAGATTAAGTTGAGAAAGCCTATTACTGAAGTCAATAAGATGGAAGTAAAGCCAAGTAAGGTCTTTAAAGTGAATAAATCATTCATTAGGAACTTGCTGCAGAATCTACTGATGTGAATGAATAGTTTCCACCAGGTTCACTGGGCCATGGCTCAGGCCATTAGCCTGAAATGTGTGTGTCAACAAAGAATTACAACTGCTTTAGCTGGATTGCAACCCATTATTGTCCCAAAATGAAAGACACTTTAGATTTTGCAGTAACTCAACTTCTTACAAAACACAGCTTGGCAAAGCCTTTTTAGCCAATAAAGACTTCAAATACACAAATAATGGATATCTGTCCTTTTTAAGCAAGACTTATTCCAGCCACTGCTGCTGCATAATGAAGTAATGAGGCACTGCAATTGTGCAGGCTGAAGAGATATATTGTCACCTTCCAGTGAACCTGGCAGTGATTTAATAAAACACAGTATGGGTTATAAATTAAATAAAACATGTTCTGGGTTCCTGCAGCAAGGGGTGTAGAAGTGGATCTGGAGAGGTATCCACATTTCACTTACAAGCAAAGATAATATGAGCAATAATCAAAGAATTAAGGTATCAAGCAAATTAGCGTTTTGCCATTCTCATTAAAGGTTACAGAAGTGGCAACTTTTTCTTTAATTCCAAACTATACTCGTGGCAGAGCTAAGCTCCCACAAATTCAGCTGCACCCAGGCAGTCAAGAGCATATGGAATGAACTGATTTTGCAGTTTTAATTCTGAGCCAAAACAGAAAGAAACCTGAGATAAGACTGACCAGAAAAAAACACTTCTCCTTCCACAGATATGAATGGAAAGAGAACTCTAGAAAGGAAATGAAGTGCCCGTATTTTACACATTTAACATTTAGATACTTTCACACAGAAGCTCCTGAGCTGGTTTCCCTGTGTCCACCCCTTAACCAAAAACCCTTTCATTCAACAAGATCCTGTGCTCCAGCTTCACTGGGATTGCATCACACCACACATTCCACACTCTGGGTAAGGTACATCCTTTTCTTCCACCTGTAATTCACTGGTTTTCTACATCTTTGGCCAATATTTCAACGAATCTGCTTTTTATTCACATGAGGAAAAAAAATAAATCTTTATGATGGTGTTGATTACCAACCCTCATCTTCAATATTTTCACAAGTCTCCCAAAATATGGGCACTGACTGAAATCCATCCCAAGAGCTGCAAACAGATGGCAGGGATCCACAGTGCTGGGCATTTTTTTCTGCTCAGACACACATCTGGTCAGACACAACAGCATATGGAATAAACTGATTTTTCAGTTTTAATTCTGAGCCAAAACAGAAAGAAACCTGAGATAAGACTGACCAGAAAAAAACAATTATCCTTCCACAGATATGAATGGAAAGAGAACTCTAGAAAGCAAATTAAGTGCCCATATTTTACACATTTAACATTTAGATACTTTCACACAGAAGCTCCTGAGCTGGTTTCCCTGTGTCCACCCCTTAACCAAAAACCCTTCCATTCAACAAGATCCTGTGCTCCAGCTTCACTGGGATTGCATCACACCACACATTCCACACTCTGGGTAAGGTACATCCTTTTCTGCCACCTGTAATTCACTGGTTTTCTACATCTTTGGCCAAGATTTCAATGAGTGAAATATTGGCCAAAGATGTAGAAAACCAGTGTTTTGTGTTTGTAGAAAACCAGTGTTTAACTCAGTTATGTTCTGCTTTTTATTCACATGAGGAAAAATAATAAATCTTTATGATGGTGTTGGTTACCAACCCTCATCTTCGAAATTTTTACAAGTCTCCCAAAATATGGGCACTGACTGAAATCCATCCCAAGAGCTGCAAAGAGATGGCAGGGATCCACAGTGCTGGGCATTTTTTCTGCTCAGACACATCAGGGACAAGGGGACAGGTAAAGGATGGGAGCTGCCCTAAAGCAGCCACAAGCTGACTCAGGTTATTTTTCTGGAGATACATTCATGCTTTAAACCCTGCAGTGGCTTCCCCACAATTCCTTCATTTCCATCAAGGGTGTCAGCACCTGCTTTACTCAAAATGGAGAAATTGAACTTTTTTGCTGCTTGCTCTCCATTCTCACAGCACTATCTCCTCTGCTACATGCAATCTGCAATCTTCAGGTCTTTTCTAAATATTGGCAGAAAAATAAGTAGTTGGAATTAAAGTCAGTTCCTGTTACTAAAGGACTACCATGCTCCAGGATCCCACCACAGAGCACTCCCAAACTTGGAAAATATTACAAATCCAACTCCATCTTTGCAGGTCAGAAAAAATGTGAATCCATGTGCCATGACTTTCCCTACTCTGGGCTGTTCTGAGGTTTTTGCTTGTTTGTTTGTTCCTTGCCCTTAGCACACGGTCCAACATCAGCATTTTTATCCTTTGCTCGAGCCCTGAGTTCCAAAGGCAGTTAAGGCAATAATAGCTTTTAGCCTTGAGTCGGGCCCAGAACGAGCCATCAGCTGAAAGTCAATTGCAAAAACTATTGTCTCTGAAAATTTCAATTATATTCTAAGATATAAATAACCCACTTAAGGGCTCACCTGCTGATTCCAGCAATATTTTTAGGTAAAATTCTAATGCTTCCTGAAACTTCCTTTTGTTTCTAAAAAGATAGAAATAGTTTTGCAAGCCAATGCAGCGAAAACCACAAGACCTTAAATTATTCTGAAAATCTGACTACATATTTTTAGCTTACCAGGCTCTCCTTGCTGTTATATACCATATAGGCTAATCAATATTTCAATTGGGTTCTTTAATTATTTCTTTTTAACTAAGGATAAGAGGTGATAGAAAGAAAAATAAACAGCCAGTAAAGATCATCCTGAGATTTTCTCTGGCATTTCCACTTACTAAGTGAACCTCTGTCCTTCCACATCATACTCATTAAGATGACAAAACCTAATGTTTGCCTCAGCGAAAAAAGTGCAAATCAACATTGCACCTTCCTTTTTTCTTTTTTTAATGCATTTGTCTACTGCAGTACATCCCCCTAAGCACAGCAGGGGCCCTGCCTGAGATATTTTGGTAGAAGGCTGAATAACCTCACACTCAGTCAGATTAACCTCTACAGGAGGCAATCTCAGCCCTGCACACCAGCAGCTCTCACAACACTCAGGATGTTAAGCAGGTGTTACAAGACACAGCTGTGTCCCACAACAGCCAGAAAATCAGCACACTCCTACCACATTGCTACCAACCTCAGGATCATGGAAATTCTGTCTTTTCATCAGATGTCAGAACTATGGAGTCTGTTGGTGTAGTAAGAAAAAGACCCTGGAAAAAGAGCCAAAGTCTATATCCCTCTGCAATGCAACGTACACTGTACACAGACAGAAAGCACCAAGTGTCAGAAAGCAGAGCCAAAGCCATTCTGCATAAATCAGAAACCCTGGACTTTAGAATCCATTTGCTGCCAGATTGTTAGAAAGCCAACAGTGCATCATCACTCACCTATGCTAGCAAACATATGGTCCAAAAGCAGCACTAAAGCACTGTCTATGTAATTTCCTTGTGCTAGGAACTCCAGTGGCAGTGCCCTGGCTGCCTAGGGGCTCCTGAGGCATCTGCAGGCACTGCCTGACAGGCTCCCAGTGTATTTCAGGGTGACTGACAGCACACAGGCTGGCAGGGGGATGGGCATCCTTAAAGCTGAACACTGGAGCACGAGCCTGGCAACAAAGTTCAGGGCTGGAGAGGTTTTCAACAATTAGATGGCACAAGGCATGAAATGACTTACACTCGCAGCGATTGTTCTTGGATTTTCTTGGATTTTCCAGCACAGAACCGTTCTGCCATGCATTCTGTGTGCCAGCCTCAGTGAGGAGGCAGTGACTCACCCTCAGACTCCTGAGCTGGACAGCAAAGGGATTCACAAAGCTCTCACCCGGGGACTTGGCACCAAATTTGTTTGCTCTGTTGTTTTTTTTCTATTGTATGGTGCCCCACAATGACACACAATCTATTATCCTAGCAGCTTCAGAAAATGCAAAGGCCTATTGCCTTCTAAAGAATGAAGAAAAGTTAAAGTAGTCAGGATTTGTATTTTTTACAAGATATATATGGACAGGGCACCTGAGGATTTCCAAGATATTAAACATTGCTGAGAACATGCAACAGAATTGTTTTACTATTTGTTCTTAATTCCAGTATTTCCTATACAGCTTTATTAGTTGTTACAACAGCACTCTGGGAATAAACCTTGTCAGCCTTTTTGCTACAGTCAGTACAGCAAGTGCAAATCAGACTCCATAGAAGGCACAAAAAACAATTACTGCGTTTTCCTTTCATTCTCTAGCTGACACACAAAATAAGACACTCAGGATGCTAAAATCTTCTAGCTCAGGCTGCTGTACTCTGCAGGCTCTGGAATGGAGCAGTGCCTCTGACACCTGGCCCATCCAACACCAGGTAAAGTCTGTAAAGCACCTGCTAAATTATTGAAATCTCCACACAAAGCTGACAGCCTACTCCATAACCATCTCAGCTTTCATCATTTCTTACCACTAGCAACAAGAAACATCATTAAGGCACAGACACCAAAAAGGGGAGCTGGAGAAGGTGGCAAGATTCAGATCCATAAATAACATTTATTCACTGAAAGCCCCTTTATTTAAACAGGCTTTGCATTTAGGTGTAGGTTGGCAATGAAGTAACTGGAAGATTTTTTTCATCTTAGCCCCAAAAATTAAAACCAGAAAAACACAGCACTTCTTTTTGCATTTCAATTCTGCCTGTGTTTATCTCCCTAGAGCAGTTTTTCAATGCACATCTGAAGAGCAGCAAAAATTCACAAGAAAATAAGATTTCCACCAAGTTCTTCAACACAGTTCTCAGCATAAATAATGTGATACATCAAACCTTACAAACAATCTATCAAGAAAACAGCATAAGCCTAGTTCTTTATGAATATTGAAGAATCCCCATGGCAAGCAATGGTATCTGATTAACCTAGTGGCATTAAAAGGTTTTATTAAGGTTTATGAAAAAAAACAAAAAACTTTTGAGGTGGGATAAAGCATCTCACCTCAACAAACTTGTCTCATGAATACTTTCTTATACCTAGTGAGATGAAAATTTAAGATTTTTCCCAGGTTTATAACATTCAGAACAAGCTCTCTTTTCCTTGTTCAGTAACCATGATTATTTTCCCTACAGTGCTGTCTGTCAAAGCACTGTTTCAAGCAGAGGTGCTGTTCCACTGTCACATAAGGAAACAATCCCAGAGGAAAAATTGATTACTCCAGATCAGAGAGAATGCCAGTGGCAGAGCACTGGAATAAAACCACAACTGAAGCACCTTACTCTCACTTTCTCTAACTGAGGCCAAAAAGCAGGCTGAGGAGAGCAGAAGATTTCCAGAAACAATTTACACTATAAACCTACAGAACATCATCTCTATTCCTTACTCCTGTGTCAGGGTTCCCCTGACACTGGTACTGCTCATTCCTAGGAAGGTCAGAAATGCTCTCCCTTACATGTCCTACCAGCATCTCTCCTCCTGTGAATGCACACACCTCAGGCAGCTGCAGCACCAACAAATTCCAGATGTTCCAGCAGTGGGAATCCACAGCCTGAGCAGCTCCACAGCCTTTGGAAATACTGGCATTCTGGATTGTTTCTCAACCAACAGCTACCCAAAAAATGTGTTACTGCCCTAAACCTACAGCCACTGCAGGCAACTCCTTCCCACTGCAGTCTGACAGGGAAACTGGGGACCTGACAGTATCTCACTCCCAGCAAACCAAATCAAATCCCTCACCAGAGGAGTTCTGCTGCACATGCACCACTGTGGGCGACAGCAGAATTAAAGTAATGCTGCTTAGGTCAGAAATACAAAAAAAAATTCATATTTTTTAACCTATTTTAAATTCTTAAATAAAACCCCAAAATCCTTCCCCATGAGTCCCAGTGCTATTTTCACTGCAGGCAGTTTGAGGCCAGAGCAAGGACTCTCCTGTTTAAGTGGCACACAGCTCTGCCAGGGATGGCTATCTGAGCCCCTAATGATAGGTTAAGCAGGTCTGGCTCCAAGCCTTCCCTTTTGTTATCACATTTGAAGTGTTCCTATCTGTGTTCAGAACCAGAGACCAGGCTCAAATTAAGTTCAGGTTGACCTTCCACTAAAAATAGGATATTGTTCAACTCATTGAAATAATAGACAATAATAGAAATTCCATGAGGTGCTACTAAAAGATTTCAAATGTTATTTCTTTTAAATACAGTTCCCCATTTCCCCTTACTGCTATTTGCTGACAGTTATCTATGACAACACTACACTCTGCTGTTTGGCCTTAAAAATGTGTCTCAGCTGCAAAGAGGTAAAAAGCCAGGGTTCCTTCTCTTTGGAGAGCTGATTTTGCCAAGAGATGTGGTTGTTTCCTACCCCAGGATGCTTCACCACCACGTATCTCTTTATGTAACTAACTGATATAAATGTTATAAATGTTTGTATTATTTGTTTTGTCCAGTGACCTGAACAGTGCTTTAGCATTCTAGAACAGTGTTCTTCTTCCCCACTGCTTACAGACGTGCCCAAAACAACCCCAAACCCCATCTGGCTGAAGTGCAGTCTTATAAAAAAACAACCAAACTTTGTTCCAAGGTGAATTAATTTCCAACATTCATCAATGGGTTTGAACCAGGAGAAAACAGCAAGAGTTCATTATGGTTTCCTTCCAAATGCCTGTCACAAGGCCCAGTTCTTTGCTGCTGGTTATCTCTGGGCTTCCCTAGGTCTGAACACAGCACTTGTCTTCAATTTAACCTAACAGAAAAGTGTGCACAGAAGGGTTTTGAAATGTGCACAATGTTACACTGAATACAACAGCTCTCCTTTGGCCCTCTCTTATAAGAACTTTTTTTAAAATATTTTGGAATTTTTAAGAAATGGTATAAAATGGTGCAGTAACTCATTATTTTCTCACTGAGGTGGGATAAACACACATTCACACAAACCTTCCTTCAATCAGGTGCAACATCCAGCAAAGCACCAGGAGCTAAGCTCAACTTTTTTAAACAACAGCACCCATGCAACAGTTTATTCTTCATTTTCCAATATTCCAGAATGGCTTCTCAGATTTGGAAAATAAGCAAACACACTGCCCGACTACAGCTACTGGCTTGAAGCGATAAGACCATGACGATTAAAATATTTAGAATGTTCAGATTTTTTTTTAATCATGTTTAAAAGTTTTTTGGTTTGTTTTTTGTTTGGTTTTTTTTTTTTTTTTTTTTGAAAGCTGGCCAAGAAACCCAGCCTTTTAATTTTTCTTAACTTTTGGAGAGATTGTCTTATCAAGCAGCTCCAGTTCCATTTATAGCTTCAAGCGCTTCCACCACGAAGAGGAAAATTGCCCACACTGTTCTTCAGTCTTACCTTTTGAATCAGGACTCCAGGGAAGGGAGCAGCCAGGATAGCTCTGTGATCTCCACCTGAGGCAGCCGCGCTCCGGGGCAGGGACAGCGAGGCTGCGAGGCCTCTTTTGGAAGGGGCAAAGCGGGAGGGCAGCGCGGCCCTGAGCCCCTCCCGAAACGGCAGCGCCTCTGCTGGAGGGATCACTCCGAGACAGCCAAGCCCATTGCCAAGCAGGCCTTCACAGAGCTTCTGGAACCTGCAGCGACACCAGGGAAGGCAATTCCTCAGAAATCCGTGAGGCTGAACGCGAGAAGGGAAAGGGGAAGGAGGAAAGCAAAGGTCACTGTGGTAAATCCACACTCAAATACAGATGCAATGTAGCTCTCCTTCATTCACCTTCACAAAACACTCAGAACACACTTCCAGATTGATAATCCCCCATTTGTAAGATTTTCCACCAAGGCAGACATTTATAAATGGATATGAGTTAAGTTTTGCTAATCTGCTAACAGAGTAAATTAGATACAATACACATAGAACAAGAAAACTCCCGAAACTCCCAAAAGGCAGAGGCTGCTCAATATTTGCATTTATTCTGCTGGAGACCAGAGGTCCCAGATCACTCAACCTGAACATTTGCACAACGTCGGGCTGGATTTTCATTTTGGAAAATCTCAACCAAAGCACTTTGGCTGTTTGATGAGAGGTAAAAAGGGCACAGACAGCCTCAAGGCTGAGTAACCTGGCACTGCCTGACAGCACTGGGGAGACTCAACAAGGAATGAGGGGAAAAACACCCAAACCTAAGGAAGGAGCACATTGGGACTACACAGAAGAGAGGAGGAAAGAAAAAAAGAAATAAAAATACCTGAACATACATAATAGTACTGAAACAGTTGCAAGGAACAGGAAAAAACATCAATCACATTTAAGCCCTGTCATGCAATGGCCAACTGATTTCAAAAGTGTCTTCTGCACTTAGAGATACAGAGAAGGAATGCAGCAAAAAGGATTATGGATGCAAAAGCATCAAATATTATTAATATAAACTAAGCAGACTTTCCTAGATTATGAAATAATTTATTATGGAGAAATGTACGTGGTATTGCCATATTAAGCTTACAATTTTATTCATAATTCATTCCTCTCATGATCATATTTGAAGCTTAAACCCTGAAAAAATCCTTCTTTTCTCACCTGCA